AATGGAAATCAAACAAGGGCTTAGTGTAGAATTGGTTGATTCTTCTGCTACTATTTCAGGTCAACATTTTCTAGTTATCATTGTCTTGGCTACTTGAACATCTTAATTTTCAAACCACAAATAATTTTTGTCCTCAGTTCATTAGATAAAATGTAGGTCTCACACACATTTGAGACATCTTTGGCTTTATTACTGAAGGAGCTCTCAAAAGGGTCAAGTACACAACAAAGCCTATTACATCTCCTTCCTCTGACTTCTGAACTGTGACATTTGTGTCATGCTGCAGCATCTGAGATTTCAAATTTAAACATATCAATATTGCTACTATCTCCTTTGTCCAGACATGGTGTTCTGTTCTATGCCTATAGCACCCAATTTTTGTTTGAATACGACTTCTCATTTTTCAAGACTGCCTAGACTTGATTCTGATTATGATTTGGCATCCTAAATTAATGACTAATTGACCTTGGCATGAGTAGTACTCAAATAGTTGGAATTGAGATACATAATTGTTAGTCTTTATCATTCTTTGTCATGATAAGTACACTCTCACAGTGGTTTGCCTTTCATGCGTATTGTGATTCTGTTTCTATTCATTGATCTATGGCAGATGTAAGACTACTTGAGAAAACCTTGGTATTGTAGGGCTATAATGGAAGTCAATTATGGGACACTGCCTTCGCTGTTCAAGCCATCATTTCAACAAAGCTTGGGGAAGACTTTGGTACAACTTTAAGAAAAGCACATACTTACATAAAAAATTCACAGGTAAAATACATCTTGTTTTGACCATCATTTGTGGTATTTATTATCTTATTCTCAGTTTTCTGATCTTCCATGTTAATTTGTTTTGCGATTGCCTTTTTCTTGTGCGAAAGGTTTTAGAGGATTGCCCAGGCGATCTTAGTTTTTGGTATCGTCACATTTCGAAAGGTGCTTGGCCCTTTTCAACAGCAGACCACGGATGGCCCATTTCAGATTGCACAGCAGAGGGTTTGAAAGTATTGATAAGTTTAACATGAAGAAACATGAGCACACACACACAAACACACACATATTTGATATTTCATAATCTTTTCTTTCTAATAACCTTGTCTTTTTAAGGCGGTTCTCCTATTATCGAAATTACCTACTGAAATTGTTGGTGAACCGCTCGATGCCAGACGGTTGTATGATGCTGTAAATGTCATCCTTTCATTACAGGTATTGCAATCTTTTAATTTAATTATTTTGGTTGTTAATTACATTGTAATGTATTGCAGCTATGTTAAATAGTTCTGTTACTCATATGGTAAGGGAGTTCATATAGCTCTGTTGTCCAATGCCTAGAAATGAATATGTATAACTAGCAAAAATGTTATCATTTTTATAGTTTTTCATTGTTCCAGCACTCCTAGAAGTTTTGGGCCTGTTAGTGATGGACCCTGCCAGGACTATGACTTTTATAATTTTCTTGAATTTGAAATGAAGGGATTCTAAGTTTTTTTTAGGAAAAGAATAAGAACTTTTTAAATAAAGGCACGTGTGGCAGCAAGGCTCTATTAGTTGAGCCTCAAGCAGCTTGCAACAGTCCTGGCCAAGCAGTGAAAAAAGTAATAATGTTAATATTTTGATTTTTTTATCTGTCCTTGAGTTCTTTCTGGAAAATATTTTAACATGCAGTAAAAACATATGAAAAGGTGGTTCACGTAATTATGAATGTTTTTCTTGCTATATGCATTAAAATGAAGTTGAAAATTACTGAAATATTCCTAACCTGAGAATTCAAAATATATTTAACTAACTCAATCAGAATATAAAAAATTGAAGATAATTCTAAAGTAAGAGTGGAAGATAAAATTTAAAATGGAGATGACTTCCTCAAGATCATATGACATTTTAAAAAATTTTCTTTTTTACTGATCTCCTTATGGGTTGTATCAGTTGTATTTCCTGCATTTGTGGATATTTATGCGTCAGAGAATACACAGACATTTTTGCAAATATCTGAGAAAACCTTTTCCTGACATACTTGTAGAACGATGGAGGTGGCTTTGCAACTTATGAACTTACAAGATCCTATGGTTGGTTGGAGGTACTATGTTTAAATGTACTTCTTTCTATGAAGAAGATATGGAAGCAGTCAATCGTATCACTTCTATGTACACAGATTTTATTTGTTTCCAATGCATTTTCATATCTGTGGATTCCACAGTAAGCTTTTAATCTGATTCTGAAGATCATTTCCCTTTGCACAGCTTGTCAACCCTGCTGAAACTTTTGGCGACATTGTCATTGATTATCCGTAAGATATCTGCTCGACTGCTGCTATGTATTAATTGTTAACTTATACGCTAGGATTTACATTTTTACTCAAGTTTTTATCTCAACAAAAACATTTAGAAGAACTGTTGGTTGACATTGTACAAGGGCTGGTCCTTGATAGGCTGTGTTAAGTGGACTTGGGTAATGGGTGTGTGTAGATCTGTCAACTTCTAAAACTAGGATACATGGACATCTTAATATTTCTTAATCTTTGTCTTTACTATTTCCGACAATGGTCTTCAAGTTGTATAAACTGGTTCAAATTGGCAAGCCATGCTTATTTGAAATACTTCTAGAACAAATCAAACATTTTTTATGATTTCCTAGTTATGATGATGCAAAAATATCATACATGTTCCACACATTTGTCTGTTTGATGTTGATACTTCAATGCATTGAGAAGAAGTAACATAGTGGGAGGTCTCTGACTTGAACCATGCGAGCTCTGTAGACATCAAAAGCAGTGCCTGACATGGAAGGAATTATTGTCATAAATACCTCTAATTCCTTTGTAGAGTTTGAATTTGTCAAATATTTGGTTATAGATGCTACATTCATCCGATTTTTTTGATTATAATACGAAGTACAATGGCTATGTAGCTATGTTGAATGTACCTCGGCGGCTATTCAAGCTTTGGCAGCTTTTAAGAAATTATACCCTGGGCACCGAAGAGAAGAGGTGGAACGTTGTATTGAAAAAGCTGCTAAATTCATTGAAAAGATACAAGCGATGGATGGTTCTTGGTAAGTTTTATTGCTCTGTTTTCTCATGCTTTCTCATTTTGGAGGGATGTGATGCTTTCTAATAGATAATTATTTGTATCAATATCATTTTTCATTCTTTCCAGCCTTGCTTGCTCAGTAGTTACAATTATTCATGTCGTTCAGGATTAATATGCATTTAAATGTTAAAAATTTCTTGACAGGTATGGCTCTTGGGGTGTTTGCTATACTTATGGGACATGGTTTGGGATATTAGGTCTGTTCTTTGCTGGACGAAACTTCAGCAATTGCTCTAGCATCCGTAAAGCTTGTGATTTTCTGTTGTCTAAACAGCTTCCTTCTGGTGGTTGGGGAGAGAGCTATCTTTCATGTCAGAACAAGGTTTTTGTTATGTAGAATAATATCTTACTCATTTCGACGATTGCTTTTTTTTTCCTTTTCCTTTCTTTTGGTATTAATACATTTGTCCTATGTTTGCCTCGAGTTTATAAACTATTTATAAACACCCAAGCCACTTTTTATCCACACATTTTGAGTGACCCACAAGCACTACAAACTTATTCACCATTCATTTCTATTTATTTATAATTAAACTGTTTATAAGCACTTCCCAAACATGCTCTTGGTCTTATTTTTTAGAAAAAAGTGGTCTTGGGCCACTTTAGAGGATACATGAAAGTTGTAACACTCTCATGATAATTACAAAAGTTAAGTTTATCATAGATAGACTGAAATATGAAGTGTGAGAAAAATCAAATATATCTAAGTGTAGTTTTCCTTGTCATCTTGAATAGTTCCGAAAACTGGAAACTGTCAGCAAGGTATGCGTAAAAAATTCTCGTTGAAGAATGATTATCTTTTTCTCTACTTCAAAATGTGTGGAAACTTAAGATTGTTTCTTGGACACCCTTGGAGATAGATTTGATGGAAGACTCAAACTCTAAAGATTTAAGATCTTACTTTTGTAGACTAATTACAGCTACCCCATAATATTTTTGACAGACTGCTTAACCGCTGTTTGATGGCCTTTATTTTGCCAAAACGATATTTTGAATAGTGATTTTTAGAAGAATGTGTTTTTAAAATGTAGAAAAATGTTTTGGGTTTACATGCAGAATATTTTATTGTGTGAACGTATGGTTGAAAATGAGTGTAGAAAAACAAGTTTTTAAATAATGGATGTCAAATAGGGGCTTAATCGAATCATGATACTGTTTCGGTACCTTTCAGCACTTAACGTCCTGCAACAGTCCATTGAAAATTTTTCATCAGTGTGTATATCCAATGACTAAACTGATTATGTCATTTGAACTTGTTTATTCTCTTTATTCCATGTTTTGTGGCACTCTTAGACAAAATAAAAGGAGAAATAAAGGATAAAATACATAATATTTTTTTCCCGCGAAATGCATAAAATAAGAAATTCTTGTTCAGAAAGTATTGCTGGAAACTGTGGTACAAGCATATTTCAATATTAACAGTCGTCAATGCCCTGTGCCTGAAATGTTCTCTGTGCCAAATGAATTATTGACTATGCTTTATCTTTATATAGGTCTATTCAAATATTGAAGGCAACAGGTCTCATGTGGTAAATACAGCATGGGCTATGTTGGCTCTCATTGCTGCTGGGCAGGTACTTATATACCACGATAATCAAATGGAATCCTTGCGGTCTCATTTTGTTTTTTTTGTTGTGTGTGTGTGTGGGGGGGGGGGGGGGGAGAGCATTCGGTAAACCCCCCTCGGTCCAAGTGGAATAACCCTTTAAAATTTTAAACTACGTTAATAACCTTTTTTT